TGAACTGCATCCTGTATGCAGACTTGCACGTACAAATCTCCAGCAGTACATATTGTGGTAGTATTAATCTTGAACTACAAGAAGCCAGACACTTGCAAGCCTTTAATTAGAGTTATGTAAAGCTTTTGATGAGGCAGTTAAGGCCTAGATAAGTAGTGAGAACAGCTGTGCAGAGGGGGTCCAATTTGAGTTTTTTGTCATGGGGTCCAAAATTCCTGGCGGCCCCCCTGCTTTTATGTAACGATGAGACCTGACCTTTGTCTCTCTGTTAGATTCCATTGGCTTCTCTCAGAGTGTTCATGAACCGACTCACTGTTTTAACCACACCCTCGACCTTGTTTTGGTGTATGGTATTGAAATTGAACATTTAGTGGTGTTCCTACAGAATCCCTCTTTATCCGACCACTGTTTGATAACTTTTGAGTTTGTATTGCTGAACTACTCGCCATTGGGCCAAAAATTTCTATACAAGATGTCTGTCTGATAGTGCTATAGCTAAATTTAAGGATGCGATTCCATCAGCTCTAAATACATTATCAAGTCACAAAGTAACGGAGGACTCCTATGCTAATTTCAGTCCCTCCCAAACTGATCATCTGCGAATGACACTCGACTCTGTAGGCCCTCTAAGAAAGAACATACTAAAACAAAGACGGTTAGTTCCATGGTATAATACTGAACTCGCACTTAAAGATGTTTTACCCTTAGTCAGCACCTCTATACTAGATATGATCAATCTATCTTTATCAACAGGCTATGTACCACAGTACTTTAAAGTAGCTGTAATTAAACCTCTTCTGAAAAAGCCCAAACTTGATCCGGATGTTTTAGCCAACTATAGACCTATATCTAACCCTCCATTTCTCTCTAGGGGTTCTGGAGAAAGCAGTTGCTAAACAGCTGTGTGACTTTCTACAGAGCAATAGTTTATTTGAGGATTTTCAGTCAGGATTTAGAGCTCATCATAGCACAGAGAAAATTACTAACGACCTCCTTATTGCATCAGACAAAGGACTTGTCTCTGTACTGGTTTTATTAGATCTTAGTGCTGCATTTGATACCATTGACCATCAGATCCTATTGCAGAGACTGGAACATTTCATTGGCATTAAAGGAACCGCTCTAAGCTAGTTTTGTTAAGAGTGTGGTTTGTGTTCATGTTTAAGTCTGTTTTTGGTTCTGTCTGTCAAGGTTATGGCTGTTCCCCCAGTTATCCCTCTGCATGCCTGTCTCTCTGCCTCATTAGTCCTCATTAGTCCTGATCCCGGTCACCTGTGTTTCTCCCACCCTGCTCGTTAGTCCTTGTGTGTATGTTTGCTGTCAGTCCTGTCTCATGCAGTGTGTTGCTTGTTGTGCACTGTCTTGTGTGTTGCCCTCTGCCTGCTCGTTTCGTGTGGATTTGGATTTTGGATTTCGTTTGGATTACTTGTTTTGTTTGGATAGTTGGTTATTTTGTATTATTGAATTCTTCCACTAGTAAGTGTGGACGCCTTAAGTTTCTATAATAATAATCTGAACTGTACCTGCTCTGTGTGAGTCCTGTATTGGGTCCACCAACCTTTCAACCTACACATACCTGTGACAGAATGACTGGACACAATAATGGACCAAGCAGATACCATGTCTGACAAACTTTATGAACTGTGCATGGACTTGTCTGAGCTGCGTACCATGTGGAGGAATGCCAGCCATGGCCAACATAAGGAGGCTGTTGGTGCTTTGGCTAGGAAAAGGGTTTCTGAGAAGCCAGAGCTCAGAGACGTAGTCCCAGACTGGTTGTTCAGCTTCCTCCACACAGCAGCTCCAATTCAGGCCAGTTGTTCATCAGCATCTCAGCCTGTTAGCCATATGCAGCTAACTGGTCTTGTTTTTGTTGGACCTAGCATTAGAGCCAGAGAGCACACGGACTACTTGTCCCCAACCAGCTAGCTGTCAGCCAGCTAGCCTCCTGCATGATTCCCGACCGGCTAGCACTGTTAGCCACCTGCCTGGTCCGCGGCCGGCTAGCGCTGCTAGCCCTCTGCGTGTACTACCTGACCCCCACCCTGCTAGCACTGGTAGCCCTCTCCAGTCAGTGGTCCGACCGACTCCTACCCCCCAGTTCCTGTCAGTGGTTCGACTGACGCCTGTTACTGGTTCCTCATCAGTGGTCAAACTGATACCGCCACCAAGGTCTCAGTCGGAGGTCCAGCCAACTCCTTCTCCATGTCTCCATCTGGTGAATTTTTCCATGTGGATTATGTTTTTGTTTGGAGTTACTTTTGTTTGGACATTTGCCACTGTGCTCCCAGTGTAAGCCTGCTTTATTTGTTTGTTTAGTTGCATCCTCCTCGCTGTAGTCTGCGTTTGGGTCCACACCTCTCCTCTCTGCCACTGCACTCAGTTTATGTCCTATATATCAGATCGATCTCCGTTGTTAACAATGAATCATCCATGCACGCCATAGTTTGTCATGGAGTCCCACAAGGATCTGTGCTGGGACCAATCCTGTTCGCTTTGCTTCCTTTAGGCAATATTATCAGGAAACATTCCATAAACGTTCACTGTTATGCAGATGATACTCAGTTATATCTATCGATCAAGCCAGATGAAACTCAGTTAGCTAAACTTCAAATGTGCCTTCAGGATGTTAAAACCTGGATGACCTGTAATTTTCTCATGTTAAACTCAGATGAAACTGAAGTTATTGCTCTGGGGCCTAAGCACCTCCATGACGCATTATCTGAAGATATAGTTTTCCTTGATGGCATCGCCCTGGCCTCCAGCACCACTGTGAGGAATCTTGGAGTTATCTTTGATCAGGACATGTCGTTTAAGTCTCACATTAAGAAAATTTCAAGGACCGCCTTTTTTCACCTACGTAATATTGCGAAAATCAGGAACATCATGTCGAAAAATGATGCAGAAAACTAGTCCATGCATTTGTTACTTCTAGGCTGGATTACTGCAGTTCCTCATTATCAGGCTGCATTAAGACTCTTCAGCTGATCCAGAATGCTGCAGCACGTGTCTGACAGGAACCAGGAAAAGAGATCATATTTCTCCTGTTTTAGCTTCTCTGCATTGGCTTCTAGTAAAATCCAGAATAGAATTTAAAATCATTCTTCTTACCTACAAAGCTCTTAATAGTCAGGCACCATCTTATCTTAAAGAGCTCATAGTACCTTACTAAATTTATTAATTTAGCTGATGCTTTTATCCAAAGTGACTTTGCGACAATTGCTATATATGTCAGAGGTCGCACACCTCTGGAGCAACTAGGAGTTAAGTGTCTTGCTCAGGGTCACATTGGTGTGTCACAGTGGATTCAAACCCAGTTCTCTCACACCAAATACATGTGTCTTATACACTGTTCCACCACCAAAGCTACTACCCCACCAGAGCACTGCACTCCCAGAATGCACCTGTGGTTCCTAGAGTCTCCAAAAGTAGACTAGGAGCCAGAGCGTTCAGCTATCAAGCTCCTCTCCTGTGGAACCAGGTTCCAGTTTGGGTTCAGGAGGCAGACACCATCTCCACATTTAAGAGTAGGCTTAAGACTTTCCTCTTTGATAAAGCTTATAGTTAGGGCTGGCTCAGGTGAGTCCTGAACCATCCCTTAGTTATGCTGCTATAGGCCTAGACTGCCGGGGGATTTCCCATGATGCACTGAGCTCCTCTCTCCTCTACTTTCTCTCCCTCTGTATGCAACCTTATCCCATTATTGCATGTTACTAACACAACTTCTCCCCTTTCTGGTAGTCTTGTGCTTTCTCGTCCCTCTCCTCTCTCCTCCTATCACTTCCTGCAGGTGTCTCTGGCTCTGGAGCAGTGGAGTCTGGATCTGTGGTACTCCCAAGAGTACCAAGAGAGACCACTACTACATTCGCTCAGATCTCAAAGATTTTAGATCAACCCAATCTTGTCCAAATTAACTAGAAGCTTATGGGGGGATATCGTGCCCGGGTGCTACAGCAGATCTTCCCTATTATAGCTTCCCCACAATGCCTCAAATACAGCACTGAGAAAGGACAAGCCATAAACTTCTTGTTGTCGAAGTTCACAGTGCAAAGAATTTTAAACTCCTGACAGTTTCTACAGGAAATCCAGTGATGATCAACAGTTTAAGTTTATCAGGAGAGTCTTGTGAGTCACTGGATAAGATAAATTTGTTGGTTTCACCTACATTTATTAAACACACTCTCCTCACACCACTGCTGCAGAGAAACTATATGAATAAAATCTGGGCCATGTTTTGCAGGGTCCCTGTCACACAGAAGGCCAACCAGGGCCATGTCATCAACACACTGTAGGAAGTTAAGTGGGAGTCTTGGATTTTAAACTCTGGTTTACAAAGAAAACAACAAAGGTGATAAAATGCCAGCTTGTGAGGCACCTGTTTTTAGAGTCCTCATCTCTGACACCTTTTACACACATTCTAGGATTGCATCAAAAAGCTGAAATTATTGCCTTTATTAGTGACTGCTTGGCTTCTGATTCTCACTGACTGAGCTTTGACATTAGTTTGCCTTCCGTTATCCAAAGAAATAACGACATGATTATACAGCATTTTAAGGATTTTTTTAAGGACATTTTAGTTTGATTGTTGTCAGTCACCTGGTTTCAACAAGTAAAAAAAAGCTGAATAGAATTTGAGGAAGACTTGGAGAAATATGGAGTCATCAGCAAAACCTGAGGAGCCAAGAAGGATTTTACACCTAAAAACATTTATGTTTTCCAATGGGGAGCAGGTTTTAACTGAGGCTTCACTGTAAAGGAGTTGCAGCTTGATGACCCCTCCCTCTGCTTCCTGCTCTCCCACACAGCGAGCTCCACTCTGTCTATGTATTTACTTGTTCCCTCCCATTCAGATCTTCAGTTTGAAGATGAGTGTAACTAACATGTGGTGAAGTGCAGGAGCTGGTAGGCCCCATTCACTGCAGAAACACATGCTGTTCAGATCAAATCAGAGCTCAAACCAGTTTCACTTCCTGAGAAAGTAAAACTCAGACAGTCGTTGCCACGAGAGGTGAAATGGCGCAGAAAGGAGTTCAGCTGAATCGGGAAACCTTCTCTTGTTCCATCTGTCTGGATCTACTGAAGGATCCGGTGACTACTTCCTGTGGACACAGCTACTGCATGAACTGTATTAAAACCCACTGGGATGAAGAGGATGGAATGAAAATCCACAGCTGCCCTCAGTGTAGGCAGACCTTCAGACCGAGGCCTGTCCTGCTGAAAAACACCATGTTAGCAGTTTTAGTGGAGGAACTGAAGAAGACTGGACTCCAAGCTGCTCCTGCTGATCACTGCTATGCTGGACCTGAAGATGTGGCCTGTGATGTCTGCACTGGGAGAAAACTGAAAGCCCTCAAGTTCTGTCTGGTCTGTCTGGCCTCTTACTGTGAGAAACACCTTCAACCGCATTATAAATCCTCTGCCTTTAAAAAACACAAGCTGGTGGAGCCCTCCAAGAAGCTCCTGGAGGTGAGTCAAAAAAACATCCAGCAGAGAATCCAGGACAGAGAGAAAGAGGTGAAGGTGCTTCAGCAGGAGGTGGAGGTTATCAATGGTTCTGCTGATAAAGCAGTGGAGGACAGTGAGAAGATCTTCACCGAGCTGATCCGTCTGATGGAGAAAAGAAGGTCCGATGTGAAGCGGCAGCTCAGATCCCAGCAGGACACTGAAGTGAGTCGAGTCAAAGAGCTTCAGGAGAAGCTGGAGCAGGAGATCACTGAGCTGAAGAGGAAAGACGCTGAGCTGAAGCAGCTCTCACTCACAGAGGATCACAACCAGTTTCTACACAACTACCCCTCACTGTCAGCACTCAGTGAATCTACAGACTCATCCAGCATCAAGGTCCGTCCTCTGCGCTACTTTGAGGATGTGACAGCAGCTGTGTCAGAAGTCAGAGACAAACTACAGGACGTTCTGAGAGAGACATGGACAAACATCTCACTGTCAGAACCAGAACCCAAGACCAGAGCTGGATTCTTAGAATATTCATGTGAAATCACACTGGATCCAAATACAGCACACGCACGTCTGTTATTATCTGAGGGGAACAGAAAAGCAACATTTATGAGTCAGCAACAGTCTTATTCTAGTCACCCAGACAGATTCACTGGATGGTGGCAGATCCTGAGTAGAGAGAGTCTGACTGGACGTTGTTACTGGGAGGTGGAATGGAGAGGGGCAGGAGTTTATGTGGCAGTTGCATACAAGAATATCAGCAGAGCAGGGTGGTCGAATGAATGTATATTTGGATACAATGACAAATCTTGGGCGTTCAGATGTGGCAACGACAGTTATAAATTTTGGTACAACAATGTCCAAACTCCCGTCTCAGGTCCTCAGTCCTCCAGAGTAGGAGTGTACCTGGATCACAGTGCAGGTATTCTGTCCTTCTACAGCATCTCTGAAACCATGACTCTCCTCCACAGAGTCCAGACCACATTCACTCAGCCTCTCTATGCTGGACTTTGGTTTTATTCTGGAGGCACCGCTGAGTTCTGTAAAGTCAAATAGTCAGAAGTCAGTTAAAAGTTCAGTGCGCAATATTTAGAGGGATCTATTGACAGAAACTAATTACAATTTACATTACTATGTTTCAGTTATGTATAAATGTATCAGCTCCCTGAAGTTGTACTGCATGGTCCTGACTCAAACTTGTAACCTCAGGTAAGGGAGGCAGATGCGCATACAAGGAGGCCAAAACCCATGGGCCCTTGTCCCAGTCACTCGCACATCTCGGCGTTGGGGACTGAGATTAACTCTCTACATAAAGACCTTACATAATGAACCGTTGTGGGTTTTTTTTACCTTAGAGATATTTCTCTCTAGTGTCTCTAGTGCTTAAACTTGTTTTGTCTTCATGTTTGTTGCTGAGAGCTGATTGTTGTGGCATTTCTTCACTGCACAGAGATCAGCTGTCAATCAAACATTGTGGGCGGTACTTTGACGTCTTCTCATTAGGTACTGTGTAAATGTTTGAGTTTCTTTAGGTGGCGCTCCTTCCTGTGTCTGTTTAGCCATGGAGGCTATCACTGCTCAGGATGACTTTTGTTTACCTGAACTGACATTTCTCTGCATGAAAATGGAAAAAATATCTGTGCTCTAAGTGTTTGTTCAATATTTGTATTGATGTATTTTTATGTTGTTGTTTCTCTTCCACTGCATGGGTCTGAAAAGAGAAAGCAGCAGACCTTCCTTTATCAGAGAGATTTTATTCTCCCTGGGTAAACAAATCTATAATTACATTTACATGCATTTGTTTGGCAGAGCAAATGTTGTTCTTGTTGTCCAAAGAGATGTACCAATGAGGGACTACGAGGTATTATAAACTGTAATTATTATGATGACAATCAATAAGGAGATGCTTCATTCTTTTTATTGACATTGAGATTCTGCTCAAACCCACTGATTGTGTGGATGAAGTGAATCTGTACCTGAAATCATTGAACAAGAGTAATTTAACAGACGTTACTGATGGGATGTGTGAACAAACTGAAGGTTTACATGATGAATAAACAAACATGAACAAAGTCTTTCCTTCCTGTCTTCATTCCAGGGTATCATACAAAGCTGATGGAGAAAATGTGAAAGTAATATGAGAGTAACTGAGGCAGTTTTCCTCCTGAAACACCAAAGTACCAAAGTACAGAGTTCATGTTTAGAGCAGAAGAGTATTTGTCAGTCAGTCTCTGTCCTTTCAGCTTTCTTCACTAAAACAGCTTTGTCACAGAGAAATGAGCACTGGCTCCACCTGCTGTTTCTTATTTTCAATACAGAGGAAAATCTACATTGAAGACTTTCTGCACGCTTTTTAATTTTTAGCTTCACTATAATGTGCCTCTGCTGTGTGAAACCTTCTTTATAACATACAGAACTGATGTGGCAAGATACTGCAGTACTACTTCTTGTGAGACTCTATCAGTACGCTGCACCAAGTATCAATGTTTTCATTGCACACATGCTCTAAATGAACTCCCTGCATCAAGCCTGTCACCATTTCAGCGTCGTTCCTGTGTGAAACAATATTTTATTGAGCTGCGTTCTTTTAGTTGAAATGACAAATAGAGTTGAAGTTGAGCTTGAATGGAAGGTAACTGACAGTGAAAAAAAAACAGAGCAAGTTATCCAGAAAGCAGGAACATTCAAACTATAGACATGTTGTTTTTTTTTAAAGTACTTTATTTTAAGTATTTTCTTTCCATGCTACTTTCTATTTCTACATCTCAGAGGGAAGTATTGTACTTGTTACTTCACTACATTTATTCGACAGATTTGACAGTTGCTTTACAAATTAGGGTTTTTGCAAACAAAACATAAGCAAATGTAAAAACAACCTACAACTGAAGCGATTAATTAATTAGTTGATGAACACAAAACTGATTAGCAACTGTTTTGATAATCATTTAGATAATTTTTTCAGCAAAAACATTTCATGGTTGCAGCTTTACACGTAAAGATTTGCTGCTTTTTCTTTTAATCATTTTAAATATTGTGAAGGAGTCACTTTGGGCTCAAAATTTTTACAAACCTTCCTGCAAAAATGACTGCACAAGCACAGTAGTAGTAGAATGCTCAGTGAGGTTAAGAAGGATCGTAGCGTGTCAGCTGAAGACTCACAGAAATCTCTGGAACATGTTAACATCTCTGTTGACAACTATACTTAACAAGAATGGAGTTCACCGGACAACACCACAGAGGAAACCACTGCTGTTTCACAGCACTACTGGCAAACTGTTCTTTGGACAGATGAAATCAATGTTGAGTTGTTTGGAAGGAACACAGAACCTTATGTAAGGTATGTAATGATTAAATGTTTTAATTTATATTGTCTGCTATTTAGCAGTAGGGAGTTACAAAACTCAATTTCACTCTACAATTTGTTGTATTATGACAATAAACCTACCTACCTACCTAACTATGTGTGGAGGAAAAAAGGCACAGCATACCAACTTCAAAACCTCATCCCAACTGTGAAGTATGGTGGAGGGGGCATCATGGTTTGGGGCTGCTTCCCTGCCTCAGGGCCTGGAAGGGTTGCTTTCATTAACTGAAAAATTTATTCCAACGTTTATCAAGAAAATTTGCAGGAGAGTGTAAGACCAGCTGTCCGCCAACTACAGCTCAACAGAAGATGGGAGATGCAACAGGACAATGACCCAAAGCACAGAAGTAAATCGACAACAGAACGGCTTCAGCAGAAGAGTCCTGACCTCAACCCGACTGAGATGCTGTGGCATGACCTCAAGAGAGCGATTCACACCAGACAGCCCAAGAATATTGCTGAACTGAAACAGTTTTTTAAAGAGGAATGGTCCCCAATTCCTCCTGAACGTTGTTCAGGTCTCATCTGTAACTACATGAACAGCCAGATGAAAGCCCTGAGGGAGAAACAAGAAGAGTCTGATGGAATCACCATTTTCTGAATCTCCCAGAAAGCACCAGTGAGGATTTGATCAAGGAGGTGCTGGAGATCATTGCTGAAATCATCCCAGAGGAAAGGAACAAGCTTGGATTCATTCTTCATTATAGACCATTAGTTTGTGTGACTGCAGTGTATAACTTTGGTTGTGTTTATGTGTCATTTTTGTATGAATTACTGTAAAGGAGCTCTGTTAAAAAAAAACAATAATTCTGAGCCTCAATCATTTCTAAACCCTGGCTACGGCTTAGATCAACTGTAATTATCAAAGACCATATACTGGATACAGTATCGCACAAAATATGTACAGCCCTCACATTTCTGTAAACATTTGATTATGTCTTTCATGTGACAACATTGAAGAAATGACACTTTGCTACAATGTAAAGTAGTGAGTGTACAGCTTGTATAACAGTGTAAATTTGCTGTCCCCTCAAAATAACACATCACACAGCCATTCATGTCTAAACCACTGGCAACAAAAGTGGGTACACCCCTAAGTGAATATGTCCAAATTGGGTCCAATTAGTGACTCGTTAGTGTTACAAGGTCTCAGGGGTGAATATGGAGCAGGTGTGTTAAATTTGGAGTTATCGCTCTCACACTCCCTCAAACTGGTCACTGGAAGTTCAACATGGCACCTCATGGCAAAGAACTCTCTGAGGGTCTGAAAAAAAGAATTGTTGCTCTACGTAAAGATGGCATAGGCCATAAGAAGATTGTCAAGACCCTGAAACTGAGCTGCAGCACGGTGGCAAAGACCATACAGCACTTCAACAGGACAGGTTCCACTCAGAACAGGCCTCGCCATGGTCGACCAAAGAAGTTGAGTGCACGTGCTCAGCGTCATATCCAGAGGTAGTCATCGGGAAACAGACGTATGAGTGCTGCCAGCATTGCTGCAGAGGTTGAAGGGTGGGGGGTCAGCCTGTCAGTGCTCAAACCATACACCGCACACTGCATCAAACCGGTCTGCATGGCTGTCGTCCCAGAAGGAAGCCTCTTCTAAAGATGATGCACAAGAAAGCCCGTAAACAGTTTGCTGAAGACCAGCAAGGACATGGATTACTGGAACCATGTCCTGTGGTCTGATGAGACCAAGACTTATTTGGTTCAGATGGGGTCAAGTGAGTGGGGCGGCAACCAGTGAGGAGCACAAAGACAAGTGTGTCTTACCTACAGTCAAGAATGGTGGAGGAGTGTCCTGGTCTGGGGCTGCATGAGTGCTGCCGGCACTGGGGAGCTACAGTTCACTGAGGGAACCATGAATACCAACTGTGACATACTGAAGCACAGCATAATCCCCTCCCTTCAGAGACTGGACCACAGGGTATTATTTCAACATGATAATGGCCCCAAACACACCTCCAAGACGACCACTGCCTTGCTGAAGAAGCTGAGGGTAAAGGTGATGGACTGGCCAAGCATGTCTCCGGACCTAAACCCTATTGAGCATCTGTAGGGAATCCTCAAATGGAAGGTGGAGGAGCGCAAGCTCTACACCTTACATCCACCAGCTCGGTGATGTCGTCATGCAGGAGTGGAAGAGGGCTCCAGTGGCAACCTGTGAAGCTCTGATGAACTCCATGCCCAAGAGGGTTAAGGCAGTGCTGGAAAATAATGCTGGCCACACAAAATATTGACACTTTAGCCCCAATTTGGACATTTTCACTTAGGGGTGTCCTCACTTTTGTCTCCAACGATTTAGACATTAATGGCTGAGGGGACAGAAAATTTACACTGTTATACAAGCTGTACACTCACTACTTGACATTGTAGCAAAGTTTCATTTCTTCAGTGTTGTCACATGAAAAAATATAATCAAATATTTACTAAAATGTGAGAAGTGTTATCATTTTTGTGAGATTCTCTATCCCTACAGTTTTTTTAATTGGATCAGGTCAGTTTTTCTGTCCAACACCTGACCGAGAAACCTTCTCTTGTTCCATCTGTCTGCATCTACTGAAGGATCCGGTGACTATTCCCTGTGGACACAGCTACTGCATTTCTTTCATTACAGCTGTGTCTCCTTCTGGTAACAATAACAGAAGCCATCTCTCCGCAACGGTTTGCACCTTCCATTCAAGCGTATTAAATCCAGAGGCTGTTGCACTCACATGAAATTGTGTTTAGGCTTGGTAGATCACATTGCGTGTAGTAAATAAATGTATTTGCATGTTACGCCCCAAATTGCATATTCATTAAGGCAAAAGTACTAAATGAACAACAGGTGCTATCTTGCGCTTTTGAAAGACGTCACTCTGCGTGCAACGTGTGCAAAGTTTGCACACGTTTTTACTCACGCAAACCTTTAGTAAATCAGGCCCTAGGTCATTCCAGCCAAGCAATCTACCCAACATAACATGAAACTAAAAATTGACCCTTCAACCATCACTCCAACCAACTGGTTATCTCTCGCCTCGACTGTTGCAGTGACTGCCTCATAGGTCTTCCAGCTTGTGCGGTGAAACCCCTACAAATGTTTCAAAACGCAGCAAAAGGATCATATCCCTCCTTGTGACCTCCGCTGTCTCCCCGTGGCCTCCAGAATCAAATTCATGTCACTGATGCTGCATACAGGGTGACTACTGAGTCTGCACCCATCTATCTGAACTCTATAATACAAGCCTACGTTCCTTCTCGGCCACTACGCTCCTCCAACAAACCTCCAATAAACACTTTTATTTTATAACCTAATCCCTAACCCCTAACATGCACTTCCTTTGCTCTTCTTCTTCTACCCTCTTACAATTCTCTTGTATTTGTCCCACTTTTTTTGTTAACTCTTACTTCCTCCCCTACGTATTTACCCCACTGATGCCATACATGCTGTGAGCTCTTACTAGTTTTTAGTGCTGCTCTTACTAGTATGTATTGTCAGTTGTAGATGTCGTGCTGTATTGGTGCTTTGTTGATGCTTGTATGTTGTTCCTCAAATGTAAGTCGCTTTGGATAAAAGCATCTGCCAAATGAGTAAATGTAAATACATTGGTTGAATTGGATCAGGTCAGTTTTTGTTTGTGTTGAACAGAATATGGACATCATGCTAATCCTGTCCTGGGCTCATCAAATCGCGGTTTTGTTGTTGGTCTACACAAAACTAGATCTTCTT